CATCTTTCATCTCTCCAGAGAGTGGGCTCAGGAGGAATTCTGACTATTTACAGTCTAAACTACATTACCCACCCTCTGTTTCTGAATTATAAAAAAAACCAAGCCTTCTGTCTCTACCAGATTCTCCTAATAAAACTCAAAAATAAACTTTACCTTTGAAAAATAAACTGTGTTATGCTGCATGATTACGCTTTAAAAATGTCCTGTTTAATAAAAGATTAATAAGGGAATAAAGTTTTAAAATTAAGTGACCAGATTATGAAGCAAGAGGTGACCTGGAGGCAGAATACAGACAGAATGGTGCTGTATAAAATGGTCGTAACCCCTGTGGTTTTAGCATTATTTGTGCTTCTTTGCTCAGAGATCTCCCATTGCCTGCTTCACAGTTAGAAACCATATCTATTACAACCCACTCTCAATCAAACACCGCTGGTCGAAACTACATGGCAGAGGGAGCCGTGATGGAGCAGGAAAATCGACAAAACAAAAAGCCAAAGGATGGCAGAGTCGGCACACAGCGAAACAGCCTCTGCATATGAGTTTAACAGGCTCATTGTGAATGTCTTCTCTATATTCGGCTGTAATTTTGCAGAGCCTGAAGCCACGTCCTGACAGTGATACAGGGAGGGGCGAAGTGTTGCTGACTCTCTGCATCCCAGCATGGAATGAACGGCTCAAGATGCCATTAAATGGATGGAAAGCCCGCGGTTATCATTTCCGTGCAGGTTATTTCCAAGCATCAGCTAAAAATCAATCTACATTTAACAGATAAATGCCCTCGCAGAGTGTACGCATAAAATGATTGAGACGACTGATGGATATGCTCACATTAAATAGAAATTTTAAACACCTGGGAAATTGAATTTGTGTTGTTGTGTGTGATTAGGTGTATGGTGCACAGAGAGACTTGCAAATTATGAGTGAATTGATTCTTCTCAGTAAGAATTTAACACTAACGAAGCTGAACTCTGAAAGAGTTCACTCTACTTTTTCAACATTTTCATCTCCATAGCTTGTACTTTTATTTATTTAAAACCACTGAAGTACATAAATTAACATAATAAAAATGCTAATTTTTAACCAGAACACATTTATTCATGGCAATATGACTGGAACGTTCCACTGACAAAAACTTATTTACTGACAGAAAAATGTATTTAAGTTGACACAGATAGCTTACTAAAAAACAGCGCTCCTTTACAAAAGTTCAGACATTTTGGAGAATCTACCTGCAACAATATTATGAACAATTAGCATCTTACCTGTTGTAGATGACTCAATGAACAACCTCAACTTCAAGGAAAAAATAAAGGTTTATTTTGACTGGGCTGACAAGCTCACAGCCAGTCTGAGAGGGTCCTAAATCAAAATTAATTACTGTGATCTTACATCACCCTAAATAATGCATTGCATGGTTCTTTATATTTAATTAGTGCTGACGGTGCAGCCTGAGGCACCTCGGGCAAAAGTCTTACAATTCTTCTGTTGGAATAACCTAGCAATAATAATTGATCATACAACTTCTACAAAATCTTACTTCAAAAGATCTGGACTATTAATGGTGCTTATTGTCCACCATCTTCTACATGTTTTAAATAAAAAAAATGTGTAAGCTGTTAGTCTTCAGACTGTGTGTGTGTGTACAAAGAAATAAAAAGCATCTGACAACTAACTAACAAGCCAGCTGAGGCCAACAGTATTAGTACTGCTGCCGTGGGCCAAACAGTGACACTCTGCTTTATTCTATAACTTCTGTTTTGTTTTTTTGTTTGTTTGTTTTGTTTTTACAGGGAAAAATATTCAGCAAACAAAGACTGCAGTTTCTGAAGGCTGCTCTCTGGCAACTATTTCACAAACTACAAATGAGAGTATGGGACTAAAAACAAAATAAACCATCACCCATGGACATGCAGTAATGAAAGAGACTGATGAATAAGACTTACTTAGCCTTACACTCTCCACTTATGTTCTCCCACTCATTTGCTCCTCTTTCTGACAGATACACAAACATCTCCTGTTACATAGTTATATAT